GCGGAGGCGGAGGCGGAGGAGGAGGGAGGAGCGGAAGAGGGAAGGTGGTTAGAGAAGTGAGGGAAAGGGGCGGGGGGACGGTTCCGCACGAGAGGCGGCCGCGGCTGCTGGATCGGCTGCTGGGGCTGGGACTGCTGCTGGGGCGGTGGCGGCTGAGACTGAGACGGAGGAAGCGACTGGGGCTGGAGTTGGGGAGGGTTTTGGGCGGCGGAAGGGGCGGCGGATGGGGGAGGAGGGGCTGAGACGGGCGGTGGCTGCGCGGGATCCGGGGCGGGCGAGGGAGACGGAGACGGAGATGGCGTCTGCGTCGGCTCCGGCGGCTGGGAGGAAGCCGCGGCGGGGGCCGGCTGCTCCGCGGAAGCGGCGGGCTGTGGCGGTGGCGGAGCCTCCATGTCGCGCCGCTCGTGCCCTCGGGTTCTCGGCCGCTCGAGGGCTTTTATACGTGGACACGTCTATTGATGGACCGGTTCGAGCACATGGTCTCACTCGACCTCTTTGGTTGTCATGTTCGCTTCCCATTTGCACCCGATTGGTTTAAGCCCAAATCCGATTCGATTTCAATTTTATTTCACTTGAACCCTAATTATATTGGATCCACTTCAATTTTAGACCGAGCTCGAATCCTTTCCTCGTACAATTAGGTGAACCCTAATCTCCGAATCCAATTGCTACTTTCTTCCGGTTGCAAGTGTTACCCTCTCATTATATTGCTATTTTGATCATTAACTGTACAATTAGCCACTTTCCATTTAGTTGGGGAATAATGTACTCATAAATTATACCATTGATGAAGATTTTTAAGGTGTTGTTAGTTTGGGAATAATTTCATTAGTTTAATAAGCTTATATTTCTTTTTTCTAATCTATTCTATATATATTGCGTGTTCCAATACTAAAATAACTATCCGACTAAATAGAATCATCTTCATAGACAGACAGTTACAACGACAACAACATCAGTACATCGACGACAGGTTATTCATGACAAGCGATGACGCTGTCATCGCCGTAGTAGAGCACGTAAAGGAGACGAAGAGGAATGGGCACCAATGCTTTCGGATTGGGAGAGAGAGGACGACGGCCATCAGCGCCGCCGGGCGGCCGTCTCCCTCTGAGCGTTGAAGTAGACGGCGGCGACCGGGAGGCCGAGGTCGTTCTCCTGGGCGAAGCGGCGGGGGTTGAAGCGGTCCCGCGACGGCGGCGGCGCCACCACCGACTGTCTCCGCTTCTGCTGGAAGAGTACAAAGACGAAGCGGTGGATGCCGATGCTGGGCCTGGGGCTCTCGTAGCCCACCACCTCCTTCCCTGCTTCTCAAATGTCACATAAAGAGATCGAAGATAAGAGACGTCAACACGACAGAGAGGAGAAAGAAAGCCCACCCAAGGACGCATCGGGAGTGCCGGGTATGTCCGTCACAATCCTGCATGACGTCGATCGATAAAGGCAAATGGTTAGTCGAAAGCAACTCAGAATCATCAGTATCACTTCTTCTATCTTCCTCTACGGTAGCAATGATTCATGTGATTTACCAGTGGACGTGCTCCCTCAGGTATGGATCACTAGGGCCTGGCGCATCTGGGTCCGTCATCACCTGCGACAGCAGCAGCGGCCGTGGTTAAGATGCATGGAGCAGTGGGGTCGGGGAGAGGAGAGCTGTGGAGGCTGTAGCATAGATACCAGGGTAAAGAAGGACCTCATGTCACCACATTGGACCTCCACTCTGGGTTCGGACACAACTGCAGATGGGTAGAACTCATGGCCATTGCAGACCAGCTTACTGGAGTTGTAGGTCACCGTCATCCTCACGCTCGGGTGGAACGAGTCGATGACTTCTCCGATCACCCGCCCGACGGCCAGTGGATCCGACAGCCTCGCCATGTCGTCCGTGAGAAGCGAAGGGAATGCTTTGTTTTGTGATGGGGAGGGCAAGTAGAGACGGCTCTATTTATAGTGCTCAAGTGAGTGACAACTTGTTATACTTTGGGCTACATTTTTCTCATGTGGATGTCCCAAGGAATCCTTTTGCTATTCTACTTCAGTCGCCATACCCATGATTGGAGATTTGGCCATGGTTGCAGCCGAGCTCACCTTTTTTCTCTCGAGGCAAAGAAGAAGGAACAGCTTAGATTGGATGCTGCTTAGACCTTCTGAAACTTCACATCCATGGATGGAACTTGCTATGATTGCCTATATTCTCTGGAGGAATTGGAACAAATAAAAAAGAGAGAGAAGCTCTCCCTCTTCACAAAGAAATGGTAGTGCTCACATGTCATATCATGTAAAAAGAGATCCTATGGTTCTTGATCAGGAAAAAGAAGGCATAAGTTTACATAAATGGCTGGGAATACTGAAGATGCATATCTTGTGCATATCTTGTCAATGTGTTGATCAGATCACAGAGGTGGAGAGATTAGGATGTGCAGGTCACAGACTGTCCACTATGGCTACTGGCAAGATCTCAGTAAGCATTTGTCCATCATGTTTATTTGTCGAGATGAGAGGGTACGTTCTACTCATTTCAACCCAACATGGTTCTGATTCTTAGCCTGTCTTGTCAAAGGTTCCCTGTTTTCAACCCAACATGGATCTTGGGAACTTATAAGCTTTTGTTCTTACAAGTTTAGAGTTCCAAAAAAATTTTCAGAATCTCATGGTGTTCAACCTAAAATTTGTAGATTTGCACCTCTGCATTCTTCCTTGCATTTGTGTATCAGAGAGACAAAAAAAAGGAACTGAAGGCATATAATAAGGAACTGATGCTCCTGATAAGAACTTAATGCAATAGTCCTAATTTTCAGTAAATTATATATAGTTTGAAATAGACCCCTAAGATTGATGTGAGGGTTTAAAGGTTATTATTTTGTTTCCATTTGAAAAAGTTGAAAACCTACTTTGGAGCTTTGTGGTTACCGACAATAATATGCGCCCACTCAATCAATCTTAGCGAGTTGTAGAAATGAATAAGGTGAAGGTGGCTAACTTTGTTCATTGGGTAATGAAGTGGATGCTTGCCTTATCTTTGAGCTCCTCAAAAGCAGATTATACTTAAATCCCAAAAGCCACTGCAGGAACAACAACTACAAATCCACCAGAATCAATTAAAATGGTTCTTGAGGGATCCAAGTAAAACCTATAGACTAACATCAACTATGTAGATAAGTTTTATGGTTTGTGTGTCAAGTATGTCTGTCTCAGTTAGAAGTATGTCTCAAGCATGATGATCCACACCACCCAAAGAAAACATAGCAGTGCAAAGCAAAGGAAGTATACTTAGTAAGCTTTTCTTTTGCAGCAGTAAAGTTTTTGCCCTTCTTCTCCTCATTTTATTTCATTAGAAAAATATCAATATAAGCAATATTTTGGAGGTATAATAGCTAGCAAGCAGGGGCAATTCAGCTCTTCCAAGAGATACATGGGTATCAAGGTAGTAAGTCTACAGTCCACAGACACAGATCTTGGGCCACAATAGCTGCAAGATTTCTGAACCTGGGATATATTAAGCTTTAACTTTTTCCTCACATATTCCCATCTTTGTCTCAAAGTTCTTCTTGTCATCAGAAACCAGTTTGCTTCATGTAGATCAATCTCCTCAGCTGTGCAATTATTTGTCTGATCTTGGACCCGGTTTCATTTCTAATTTATGATCAATTCCTTCTTGCTGTGACACATCGTGCATGCTTTAACTTATCTTTGATTGGCATATATTGGTTGATTAGGTCTTGTCATGATCTTGTCACTAATGTAATATTTTATTGGTATTACATTTCTTGTCAGCTTAGCTTTGGAAATATAAAAAGGCTGAAGCTATCTTGAGATTATGTGGTCTTATATTATTATTCATTCTTCCTTTTATATCTGATTCTTCTAATGCTCTCCACCACTGTAACCAGGATTAGGTCATCTGTAGCTTTCAGTAACTGTCAGACTGTCTTAAATTAGGGAAAGTGGCCTTTTAGAATACACATGGATTGTGTTTACCAACAAAACACATGGATTTTCTTTACTATAGTAAAGATGGAGGAGGGAATTAAAATACCACAGAGCTTTTGCATACTTGTTTCCATTGACTTTATGTTTACCAAATTGTTGAGGAATGGGAAGCAAAAAGTAATGAGTTCTTGGAGATTGTCAACAAGGAAGTTTTGAAGCAAGAAACACTTTCCCCAATAATTAACCTGCATTCATATTTGCTTGCGGACACATAAGAATTTATTTCTTCACATCGGAAGTTTCTTGGAAACTTCATAGCTATACATGTGGCTATATCAAACAGTTCTTTTACCTACGTTTAATATCTCGATCCTTATATTTTTAAAAATTATATTAAGATCCTTATATATATATATATATATATATATATATATATATATGAAAGTAAAACATTTAACATTATTTCTTTTCACATCGTCAATTTTGTTAATAAAAATACTATAATGTTTACCACTGAGTATATGCTGACTCTGTCTCACTTTGATTTACCATTGAACACATGCAATATTTTTGTTAATAAAATTGATGATATGAGAATAAACGAAGTTAAATGTTTCACTTTCGTAAGTATAGTGATCCCTATATAACTTTTGAAAGTATAGGAGCCGGGATACTAAAGATACCTAATTACAAAAGATAATTACATAATTAGCTCTCTCATATTATATCAAAATTCTATTTAAAGATACTAGTTATAGAAAAATAATTGCAATATTATTTGATGTGTTATAACATTGATAAAAAGAATATATATATATATATATATATATAATTGCAGTAAAAGACAATTAGTTATATAAAGCAGCATTTGTTAAAATCATACACTCAAATTTGTCTTATTCTAATGCAACTTAGGAAATTATTTGAAGTTAGGTCTAGGTTGGATAAGGTCATACTGTGGCTTAGAAAAGTGCTTCCCTGTTGCTTTTATTGGTACATATGAAACAAGCCTTTTGTATTCAGATTTTACTAACAGTTTCTTCCTCTTGTTCAACAACCACAACAAGAAATGCATTAGAATAATCTTGCTTTTAGCACCCTTGAGCTCTTTTTTTTGGGCCAAGTACAAATCTCCTAATGCATAAGAATACAGTCATGGTACAACATGGATGAGCTCAAAATGGAAACTATGCACAGCATATTTCTTGATTGGGAATCTTTTCAGAAGGAAGTAAAATGATTCTGCAGTGGTTGATGAACAATCTGCAGGTCTGTCGCTGATGAGACAACACTGTCATGAACGATTAAGCTCCTGTGGGGAAGACAAGCAGGCGCTAGTCATGTAAATGCGAAAGGATATATTACCAATCAACAACATGATCATAACTTGATTGATGCATTTATGCATTGCGGAAGAGATTGTTCAGCTGCATGCATATTGAATGGTGCGTTGTATGTTTATAGTCATGCATACCGGAGAAGCTTACACCGTTGCTTTAACCAAGGGAAAGTATCGAGTATAAATAGCAGATGGCGCATGACGAACTTACTGCCGAGGGCGAGAAGCCCACAGAGAGCTCAGAGCACGCAGACGAGTATAATACTCTCCGATCGCTAGGAAACATCTTGCTGCTTGCTTGATCGTCAAGTTCCGACGCAACTGGTGCAACGTTTGTTGTCTCAGGTTATCAGCCTGCAGAATCACAGACTTCAGAATGACTTTATGTGGGAACCAATGACCATTTCTTTCTCGTTCATGGATTCCAGCAACGATGGCGATCGTTCTACCTTACTTTCTTGGTGGAATAGAACTGGCAGAACTTTAGAAATGGAACGGATTAGAAAAGACTATTATTTCTCCTCAAGCCTTCTTTCATACCTAATGTCTTTGGTTTACTTTCCCATTTCTTTTGCTAGAGGACAACTCTACATGGTCATATTAAAGAACAAGTGGGGCTTGAGGTACATGAACTGGTCATCCGTAATGAATCGAGCTATGATCAGGACTCTTTTGCATGTAGAACATGGTTTTTCTATGAAGAATAAACTATTGCAATTAGCTGTGGCCTGGTCTTTCTCTGACTACTATACTTGGCCGGGCATAAAACACATTATGTAATCGAAACAGCTCCTATGAGGGTTTTCTTTTGATGGTTTGGGAATCTGTTCATTGCTCAAATAAAAATAAAAGGGATGTATGAACAATAATGGGTCAAGAGGTAGGAGAACAAAAGAAAGATATATGATAGGGACATCTTTAAGGACTCCAATATTCTTCCTTGACTTGGCAAGTCTTATACGACAACCTTTTTGTCTAGTTGAGGTCTTCTTTTAGTATTTTGTTTTGAGTATTTATGAGTCCTTTTTTTTTATTTGGATTAGATTTAGTAGAATTATATTTTAATTTTTTTGGTGGAAATTTTGGTTCATTGGTGTGCTTATAGAAAGTCTTAAAAGACAACGGTGTGTTTCGGCTGTTGTTTATGTAGGCTATGTGTTTTGCTTATAGGAAGACTCGGAGAATGCGAAGTAGAAACCTGGCGGACGAATCCTTCGAGGTTGGCCAGCTTCCCCAGTGCAAGAGCCATGTGGCCCATGTAATTTCCGACATCGACGCCGTCGCTGAGAGAATCGCCGGTGACGGTGTCAGACAAAGACCGGTGAAGCTGCTCGAGGCCCTGCGAGAGAGCCTCCTCCGCCTGCTGCGACGAGAGCCGCAGGTTGCCGATCACCAGTAGCTGTTGCTCCGTCAATGGATCAAGATGAGGCATCAGTATCTGCCGAGCTCATCAACAACCAAACAAGAGTCGAATGAGAGTTGCGTAGATAAGCCTACTCCATTTCCATATTACGACTCTATGACAAATCTGTCACAACACGTAATGGTGGATCTCATACCTCGAGGAGCTCAGAGGGCCTAAACCCACCCATCCACAGGAAACAGCGCTCCGCTGGAGTCATCCATGTACCATTCAAGAGGTGGAATACGTCGGATTTCGCAACAATTTCTTTCAGACGGAAGAGATCATCGTAGTTCGCGATGCATTGATCTACGATTACACCAAGATTGCCGTCGGGGAGGTGAGCCTGCATTGCACCTCGAAGGTCGGACATGTGCTTGCAGTTCTCGTCCAGCCATCGAGCATATTCCACGTCAAACATCGCTGCGCCTGCAGCGCGGAAAGCTCCGGTTATGGCCAGCACAAGAAGAACGATAAGATCCACCAAAAAACCACCTCTGAAAGCCAGCAAGCGAGGAAACAAATAGCTTATTACCGGAAGTGACAGCTCCATTTGCGCTGCCTGCCACTCCTAAGAAGAGACCCTGACACCGAACAAACAACATAATGGAATCACTGTCTGAAAAAGGCAGATAATAACAAAGGGAAAACAAAGGAGAGAAGAGTCAATTAAAAGTTTTAATCATCAGAGTAAAATTGAACCTGTGATCTTGCTCGCTGGAGATCGTGCTCTAACTGCTGAAGTCTAATTCTACTGGACTCTAATTGTTGCACGTAAGCCTGTTTTATTCAGGGCAGTTTGGTGCATCAGATCGATACAATACACACATATGGCATTGTCGCCTATGGGAGATTTGAGATTTGAGTGCACCTTTTTCCTCAGCCGGCTCTTTCTTGCTGCCTCTCGATTTTGAGCTAGGCGTCTTAACGTCTGATATGCAAGTCGATCATTAATAAACGAATTCCTCTAAAGAAAAGAAAAGCACTTAAATCTCCGAGTTCAGATATATTTAAGTCAGCTTTTTGTTACAGTGTTTCTTTCTTCTTTTTGAGAAAGAAAACATATGAACAGCTTCTTTCCTTTGCAGGGTTATTTTACTTCGATTGATGATCTTTAAAGGAACCACTCCATGTTTGGCACTCTTAAGAACATGAATCCAGGTTAGCATGATCAGCGCAGGCACGCACACGAGAGAGAGAGAGAGAGAGAGAGAGAGAGAGAGAGAGAGAGAGAGAGAGAGAGAGAGAGAGAGAGAGAGAGAGAGAGAGAGACGACGACGACG